ATATCCTGTGCTTTGGGCAGTCGGTGTGCAGCTGTCTGGTGTAGTATTTATTTATTCATTTATTATTAGTTCTTATTTTCAACTCTTTTTCTGCTTGCTTGTTATAACTGGTTAGATGTAGAGATACTGATGTTGAGGGTGTTCGAATAAGAATGAATAATTTACATGCGACAATTATATATATATATATATATATATATATATATATATATATATATATATATATATATACATATATATATATATATATATATATATATATATATATATGTATATATATATATATATATATATATATATATATATATATATATATATATATATATATAGAATCGCCTTTCATAAAGACTTTTCATTAGATTTTTTCTATCAATACATACGTACTGTTTTTTTTTTATGTACTGTCATTCTGATGGATAAAACTTGTCCACAGAAACATATCTAAAAAAATCCAAATTTTGTCGGGAGAAATCTAAAATCTGTCGTATTCTTGTCACACAAGAACACGCAAATGCTTTTGTCCGGTAAAAATTTGTCCTCATTTGTCCAACCAGGCCCTTGATCAGTGGCGTGTCTAGATTTTTTTTTTTTTTTTTTTTTTTTTACTGGGGTGGCCTCAATGAGGCACAAAGTACAAGCACACACGCACCTATGAATACTCGCACGCCCAACAATTTCGAATTACCACTGTTAACTTGTTTTTCTTCACAAATATACCAACAAAATGTTTAAGTTATTGGGATAGCAGCCAGTCAGATTCTAGGGGTGGTACACGTCGCTCCATCCAACCCCTGATGCACCTGCGCCCATGATTACCCATAAGAATAGCTATAAACGGTACGCTTTTCGCTCGATGCCTGTGACCCGCGGCATATAGCTCTATTTGCCTATATGCTGAGAAACAAGACATGCTCACTTAAGGGGGAAAACTTTTACGATTTTTTCTTGCTCGTTTTAGGGTACCGTATAAAAAAAATCAAGCTAAAACGTTGACCCCGCAGCTAATGTGCTAGTTTCGTCCCCGCTTTTCAATTGATGTGTTGAAGTCAAATCGGCCGTGACTATCTTGGCCAACGCTAAAGCTATCGGGTAGATACCAAAGCACGTACGGCATAAAAAGTGCTCTTATGTATGCAAGAAGTTGGAGAAAAATATGGATAAAATATAGCGAAAATAAATCACATTACATATAAACATATAGTATGCTGCATAGGTGCAGTGCTTTACGTATTTGTTTTATTAGTTCGTAATAACCATTTCTTTTCTTCTCAGATTGTTATCCCCGTTATTCTTTGCATGTAATTCATCACATGAATGATATAAGTGCCATGAAGTTGTTTATTTCACTTGCAAACGAATAAATCGGATATACTTTTGACCAAACGGAAGAGCAAAGGTCTATATAGTTACCTTATTGCTCTTTAATACCTTCTTATGTACCTGCTTTATTTGTCATCATTTGATACATTGATCTAAAATTTATTATTTTATAACTTTTCCCTTACAAGTTCATGGCTACTTGTTTCAATGACATTCCGGCATTACTTAGAGAGAGTAGGATCGCTTTCCCTCCCATCTGCCAAAGCCTTCGGACATAATCACCGGCATTTGTTACGAACTATAAGCGCTTGGATCCTCTCGAGCCAGATGTAAACAAACACTTCATTTCTCTTATAGTTGACACCGCCGAGGACCTGCCAACTCAGCTGGGAGTTCCTTTTCTGTGGCACTTTTCATCCCTATTACGTCTCTTTTTTCAATCAAGATGCCATGGGCGGCGGAGGAGTGGCGCTGCAGTGATCAAGAGTGACGTTTCCGTGCCAAATAAGAGGCAAGTGAGGCCCGGCTAGTGATACGTAGATGTTAGATGTTTACCGTAGTAACCTGTAGTGACAGCTCTGACACCGATGGAACAGGTTCACGGTTGATTTTTTTGCATTTGTTCATTGTTGTTTTATCCTTTGTTACGTTTTTTATGTGCAGTTGTTATCGTTTTTGCAAATGGATAAGGATGATTGTGTTTGTGGACATTTTATTTGTTATTTATGGATGTGGTGTGTTTTTTGCGGTTTCAGTTTTAAGTATGACAGCTAGTGCAGTGAAGTGAAAAATGTAAATTAAATGTAATGAAAACATTCAAAATATATAGATGAAGGATAGAGCAGACTGTTTGATGATAGATTTATCAAATCTCAAAATTATGATAGCTATCAACCTAGGCAATATCAATGAATACATGTAGATGGTATATTAGATTATTTTGGGCTAAGTTTTAGTATAAAATGATCATTGTGTATATATCCAAGATAAATAAATTGTTTTCTTATTTATATTGATATTTGAATGTGCAATTTTTTTCCATTGCAAACTATCAGTTTCTGTGCTAGCTTTATTCTCTTCATATAGTAGGCTTGAGAAATCAGTGTATGTTTATAATGTTTTTGAGTGTGGAGAAGAGACAAATTACATAGTATGCACTTACTATCTTTCAAATGTAAATCATCATTTTTTTTTACACTTTCAAGAAATACATAATGCATAAAGAACAATTTTGGCTCCATTAATGAATGGCTCTCCTCACAGCCATTCCTTAGTACCCTTACATCAATGCTTGTAGAAAGTGAGGTGATGAAATTAGCTAGAATTTCAAGATCTTCCCTTACTAGGAAAGTCAGGTTGGTTAGTTTAGTTGTATTGTTACTGTGGTAAATGTTGAAATTGTAAATTAGAGAACCTTCAATGAAGTCTGCTAATGAAATATCATATTAATAGTAAGTGAACCAGTAAATAAATACAAGCATAACTGAAAATCCCCATAATTGGCACAACAACTCGTGCTTCAGTAAGTGTCGAGGGACATTTTCCTTGTGGACCCTGCACCTCATCTTTGTTATGATGTCACTTAAGTGTGTCTTTCAGACCTGCGTGTGTTTCTGATTAGATTTGTTTGATGTTTTGCATTCTTGGCATGGTGTTGGGAAGCAGGAGATTTTAGTGGATGCAGACCCCAAGCAACATTAGAAATGTATATATATGCCCACTACTATTCTTTTTCTTACCCTTCCCACACCCTAAAATTCGAAATTCCCATGAAGGAACGGGAGCAGGTCTTTGACATCTCCTAGCATTTCCCGACGAGAATGATTATCAGAGTCATTTGAACTGCTTCAGAAACACTCTGAAAAACATGTTCTGTATCCTGAGGGAAATAATGGTTTAAATGTAGCCTTACTAAAACATCTTTGAATAAATGAATTTGAATATGTTTTAGATAAATCTTGCTCATCTGCTTGGCACAAAGTTTGCACATGTAACAGAGGTTGCCTGACTTGTCTATATCAAATACAGGTGACTACGATAGTTGTACAGGCAAATATTGAAGTTATAGATTTTTATGGTTATTATATGTAGTAGGACCAAAGCAAGGAGAAAAGAAAGAAAGGAGGAGAAAAATGGAACACATAAATTGACAGTAATTGCAAAACACATGACAAGTTGAGTGAAATGTAAGGGACTTACTACATTGTACTAAGACCAGTAGGTACTCCCTCCATGAGCATCGCAAGGCACTGCCAATTCTGGTGGCGCTGACTGTATTTGCATATGGAGCCAAAGTTTTCCAGTTAGGCTGAAAACATTTTTGTGAATGATAGCTGCAGGAACGCAGATGGATTTCAAGCAGTGACTTAATTCACTAAACTGTTAGTAGCTGGTTAGTTGTAGCAAACCTGTTGTTCAGCTAACATGGTGGTTTATGTAATGAAATTATTATGTTACGGATCATGCTATATTTTGTAAAAAGCGGTAATCATGCACATATCTGCTGGAAGGTAAAGGTTTTGATCCTTCCCAACTGCGGTATACCTTTACTCTCTGTAGTAAGATAAACCTATGGAAATTCAATGATTGAGAGGGTATCTGTGGGCTGAACCTGTTTTCTAAAGATATCTAGATATAATCCTTACTTTGACTTTAATTATGAAACTCGTTCACTTTTAGATTTGCTGGTATGAGTGATTTCATAACTCCCTGAGAAACCCTGGTTCCCAAGAATGTATCTAAGGTGGTTAGCTTGAATAGTTGGGTTTAGTGGTCCTTTTAGAAAGAATTACTTAAATTACTACTTGAGAGAGTGAAAATATAGTTAAAGTAAATAAAACACATTTAAAATAATATAGCCTGTACTTATTATTCAAAGCATTGAAATTTATATTTATGCATAAATGGTATAAAAAGAAAGAATTGCAAAGAGACTCCGCAAACTTGGCTTGACTCCGCAAACCACATGACAACATAGTGGCAAGAGTATTGGTTTAGCCTCCACAGTTAAATTCAGAGGGATTCCTTATTTGGTAATAACTTGCCAAGGAAGTCTACAAGATGTGTCTTGCCACCAATTTGGAAAATATACTAGTTCTGCATTTGTCATTGTTTTACTGATGGATCTAGTCTGGTTGATGTACATTGGGAAGTTCTCCTGAAAATTATGTGGCATATAATTTTTCAGAAAATAGTGCTGCATTCTCAAGTGTGGTTTTGCCAGAATTTACATGCTAAAGATTTGTTTGCCTTTGTTGGAGTGTAAGGCAAGGTGATATGGAGTTTAGCCATTTGTTTGAGATAGACTTCCTCTTTGCAAAAACACATTATTCAGCACTTGTCAGTAACGGGGTACCAAGGGCAGTGTCACCAAAATTATGTTTTGAATATGTTAGCCATTAGTTTCAGATATGCAGTGATGTTTATTATATTCAATCTGTAGTGGTATTGCAGCATTGTTTTAACCCAATGCAGCTGGGAAAAATGAATAAGAAATGGGGAAAATGCTGTGCTCATTTTCTATATGGCTCTGTTAGGCTTAGCCACAAAAGAGTCAATTAGTAGACCTTATGACCTTACATGATTTAAATTGGCGGAAAAAACATATTTTTTACTAGTGCTATGAATATCAATGGTGTTATTTTTATTATAAACATTATAATTACTCTAAGGTTATAAACAATAGTAACAGCAAAATAAGATAATGCAAAATGTTTTCATAAATCAAAGAAAAGGGTAGATGGGGGAGGCAGGCAGTACTCGTAACTGGCTCATTGGTGACTTAGTTCAAGTATAGCCATCTTTGTGTTAAAACAATCAAACAAGTACTCACATTGGGCATAGCATGTACATACATGTCATGCCCTTTGGAATTGGGTAAGTACATGACAGTCGTGTTTCAAAGCTACATTTTCTTATATATTTTGACGCAATTAGAACAATTCTGATGTTTTGTTTTAATGAAAGAATTAATGAATTTCTTTGTTAGTACCCCCTATCCTATTTGCCAGAGTTAGCTCTGTTTGGAGGTAAACATGTGTCAGTGAAAAGAAGTAATTTGCATTCTGCAAAGCTGATGTACTGAGGCTTTCAGATAGTCAGTTTACTTGCAAAGGTGCTATTTGCCATAGCTATGGCCTGCTGCATTTTTTTTATTCAGAATACCATTTACTGCAAATGTGGTATTATCTGGTGTTGATGTGTAGGTTTATCAGATTATCATTCTCTTTATTTTTCTCCTCCTTTCATTCTCTTTTTCTTTCTCTTTTGACCCTCTCTGCATACCACTGTTTATCCACATCTACCTTCTTTCCCACTTCCTTCCGTCCTTCCTTCCTTCCAATCTTCCTTCAGTTCTTTCCTTTACTCTCCTTCTTTCCACTCTGTCCATTGAGGAGGCCATTAAGCCAAAGGCTTAAAAAGTAAGCATTGCATCGATTGATCCCTTTTCCCTTCTATTCGAGCAGCTAATTAACTGCACTACCAAGTAGCAGTTCAAAGGGTTACAGGAGTCCCCTCCTCATTTCTTTTGATAGCATTTCTCTTTTTTATGTGCCACATGCACACATGGTAGAGGTATTAACATTACTGCCTCTTATTCTGAGTAAAGAAGTTCGGAGTTCTCATGGTTGTATGGCAAAGATTGTATTTAAGATTTCATTTAAGAGTTTGATATCACATATCTTGTAATTTTTATGCTGGTGCCTGATGTATGTATATATGTATGTATGTATGTATGTATGTATGTATGTATGTATGTGTGTGTGTGTGTGAGTATGTGAGTATGTGAGTGAGTTGGTAAGTGAGTTGGTGAGTGAATGAGTGAGTGAGTTGGTGAGTGAATGAGTGAGTGAGTGAGTGAGTGAATAAGTTGGTGAGTGGGTGAGTGAGTGACTGAATAAGTTGGTGAGTGGGTGAGTGAGTGACTGAATAAGTTGGTGAGTGGGTGAGTGAGTGACTGAATAAGTTGGTGAGTGGGTGATTGAGTAACAAGTGAGTGATTGAGTAATAAGTGAGTGAATGAGTAATGAGTGAGTGAATTAGTAAGGAGTGAGTGAATGAGTAAGGAGTGAGCAAATGAGTAAGGAGTGAGTGAATGAGTAAGGAGTGAGTGAATGAGTTAGGAGTGAGAATGAGTAAGGAGTGAGTAAGTGAGTGAGTGAATGAGTAATGAGTGAGTGATTGAGTAATGAGTGAGTGAATAAGTAATGAGTGAGTGAGTGAGTGAGATTAGTGACTGAGTGAATATATGTGTTAGAAGAAGGTACTGTGAATTACTTTACCTTTGATTAGTGCAGTACCGTACCCTTTTCCACTTTTGAGTGAAGTAAGATTTTGAAGAATCTTTTAGTGTAGATTTATTTCCATTATTAACTTTTTTGTGGGATGACATTCATGTAAAAGATGTATATGAGATAAAAACTAAGAGGCTATAATATTTTTGTATTATCGTTTTATATTTAAATGCACTTTTTGAATTAATTTAAGAAGGGTTTTCTTGAAATTTTAATTATCTTTTGTTTAGGGAGTAATTTACTTTATAGATCCCAGTTTTATGTTAGTGCTTCAATCTTATGTTTTCTCATCTATTGTTCTTGAAGTATATATAATATTTGTAACCTGTATTGATTCAAAACTTCAAAATCATCCACAAGTTGTGAAGTTCATGAGAATTGTAACATGTAACATTTTAGGTATATTCTATTTTGTTACTTTAGTAGTTAGTAGTATATGCCTTGTTTTTAAAAAAGTATAATGCATTTATTCATAAAGATTTCAATGCGTCACATCATTCCATATATCGCTATCGCAAAACATTAACCTTGATAAAAATTGTCGTGTCATATTGAAGCAAAAACAAGATAGGCCTTGGCTCCTACACTGTGCTAATCATCATGACATCAGCATGACATTTAATCCCTGAAGCACACCCTCGTCTTTCACTCTCAGTTGTTTCTAACTCACTCTGAATATTTTCCTTGGATATTTTCCTTGGATATTTTCCTTGGATATTTTCCTTGGATATTTTCCTTATTTTTTGTTGCTGATCCCAAGTCTACTGCTACTATGCTTTTCATGATGTTAGGAATCCTTTCTCTTTCTTCTGAACTTTCTTTCTTCTGTTATTTTCTTATTATTATGACTTTAAAAAAAATTCTAGTCGTCTGATGAACCCAAGCATTTTTATATGTATGATTTGAATAGACTGATATTTTTCCTGGTGTGTAGAAAATGTTTCCATTAGGTTTAAAGGCATAAAACTTAATGACAATAATGACAATAACTGTTTCTCTCTACCTTCCACCTTCTCGCATAATAAAACATTGAACTCTTTGCAGGTGTGGCAAAGAGAAGAGAAAAGATACAAAGATAGAAAAGAAAAAGAACATCAAGCAACAAAGAGGGGAAAGGAAATACAAGGTCTGGAGAGAACGGGAGATTTTGAAAAGAACACATGAATTCTGCAGCCATGTCTAATGAAGGGAGAGCAGCCAAGATCCTTGATGCCTTGCAGAATGACCTCAAGTCCCTCTGCATGGAGACGAAGAAAAGATATCCTCACATTAAAGATGTAAGTGAAAGAGTTTTTTTGTGTGTGTAATAGGAAATTAGCAGAGGATAATGAATTATATTAGTATCCAACTTTTGATAGAAAATCATAAAACATTGAGATAATGAGCTTAGGATCATTTTGTTGTATTCAGCAGAAGAAAAATCCTTCTCAAATAGTTTATGTATTTATGCTATTTTTTCATCAGTGTAACTTCTCATCACATTCATGTTATTTAACCCTTCATTTTAGTCCTGTGAGGAAGCCATCATCAAAGTCCGTGGGGCAGCAATGAACCCCCAGTCTTCACTGGCTCAAATAACCTCCCAGATACTTTACCCACTTGTGCAGGCTGCAGAAACAAAGGACCCCAAAATTGTTAAGGTAAAACTTAGATGCAGTGTGATACCTTCTTTGTGGTGATGGAAAGTAAGAATATTTAATATTTATTCATACTGCCTTTCATTTCGTATGTATTTTTTTTTGCCTATCATTTTTTTTTCTAGGTCAGGTAATTGATAGCTTGATATGATAATGATATATAAATTACATAATATTTCTTGCATATTAATGCAAAATATGTGCTCATTTATAACTACAAGGTTGACCTTCCTTGGGATAATATAGTGATTAACATTATATCCTCGTATCACTACAGCTAGCTTTAGCAATAATGCAACGCCTAATAGTGGCTGACGTTGTTGATGAAAGTAGTGGAGAGCATGTTGTGGAGACATTGTGGATGCTGATGGAAACGGGTGTGGAGGAGCTGAAGGTTCTCCAGACGGTGACATTATTACTTACTACAAGCACTGTGATCCAGGGACCAAACCTTGCAAAGGTGAGATCAAGATGTCCGTGTTGTGTTGTGTTAACCCTTTGCCGATGGGTGGCATGTACGTACATGCCATGACATACCTGGACTATCTACCGGGTGGCATGTACATACATGCCATGGCGTTCTGAATGCCGGGGGCATGTATGTCCATGCCATGAGTTTTTTATTACAATTACGGCAAAATATTATTTTTTTGCCATTGAAAATGGGATTAAGTAGTATGCATGTATATGCGTTTGTGCATGTGTGTGTGTGTGTTTGTGTATGTGAGCATATGTGTGTGTTTGCAAGTACATACGTGTATTTGTGAGTATTGCGGGGGTGGGTGGAGGTTGAGAGTGTGACAGAGATGTACAAAATGGTCAAGTCAAGTGAAGGATCGGGGAAGAAGGAGAAATGAACGAATGAACGAACGAAAAAAAATCACATATTTATAAAAACTCTGAACATAAAATTATATCTATATGGAAGTGATAATATACAGATAGTCCCCTACTTAAGAACATTCTACTTTTGAACATTCCATACATACAAACAAAATTTTTTAAGTACTAAAGTCCAAAAAATTGTTTGAAAGATGCTAGCAAACTTCAAATTTCCTGGGCATGAATAGAGTTCAAGAGTCTGGTACTGTATAAAGTATATTGTACTTATTGGGATTTATTTACAGGTATTCTTAATGTAAACAAAACTTTAAAACAATGGAAAAAAGGTAATGGAGACCCGACTTTCGACATACAAACAAATCAACTTACAAACAGCCTCTCGGTCCCCATTATGTTCTTAAGTTGGGAACTTACTGTTTATCTGTTGAAATTAAAGTTTATTTTATAAAATAACATGGAAAAAAAAATGCAAAAGAAAATAGAACAAAACCTATGGTTTTAACTCCATGATACCGAATAATGATCAACTATGGAGTCTATATAACAACAAAAATATTCTACAGTCTTGATTTATCAGAAAATATAGCAAATAGTGACCTTAGAAAATATTGAAAATACAACATAGGTTCTTAGTATTATGAAGAAAAGGCAAGGGATGCTGGTATTGGGCATGAGCGGTCCTGCATGCTAGGGTGACGATATTAGCCCCGGCAGTGGGACCCAAGCCACTATGAATACAACCCATGAGAGAGGGCTTGCGCATCGGTAAGTCACCTGTCGGGAAAGAGTTAATGGCATAGTCTTTTATTTGCTTTTTGAAGGTTAGATAATATCTGAACCCAAGAATAGGGACTTGCTCAAATGGTAGTTTTGAGTGGCTTGTTTATCTGCAAATTTTTAAGTGTGTACACATTTTGCAGTTCAATTTTTGGGTATTCTTGTATTTGTCTCTAAGTGAATATATGGCACAGAGAAAAAATCCAAAGCTCTGTAAGAAGGATATATTACATATTTTACATGAAGTCCTTCTGTAAATGTTGATTTGATTTTTACACAGTCAATGCATGTACACATATACATTTAGGGATCAAGGAGGGACTTAACCCATTCGCAATGGGGAAAATGAATAAAAAATGGGAAAATGCTGTGCTCATTTTTTATATTTTTTGTGAAATGTCTCTACACATAGATGGCTCTGCCTTACCTGAATTCACCTTTCTGTGAATTAGCGGGAAAATATATTTTTTACTAGTGCTATGAATATCGATGGTGCTATTTTTATTATAAACATTATAATTACTATAATGTTATAAACATTAGTAATAGCAAAATAAGATAATATAAAACATTTTTGTAAATTAAAGAAAAGGGCGAGACAGGTTGTACTCGTAATTAGGTCATTGGTGATTTAGTACAAGTGTAGCCATCTATGTGTTAAAACAATTAAACAAGTAAACTCACAGTGGACATGTCACAGATACATGGCATGCCCGTCACAAATGGGTTAACCTGACTTTGTCTGTTAACCCTATTCCTTGAATTTTCAGGAAAAAGAGGTTTTGTTTTATTTTTATCCGTAACATTATATTTGTGGTAATCATGGTGATAATGATAAATTAGTAATGATAATGATAACAATAGTGATAATTATGAGAGTAGTAATGACCACAATGATAGTAGAAATTAAAACTTTTTTCCCAATAATACAAGGAATTTTTAAAATAGGTGAGGTCTAGAAATTGATTCTTTGTTGACAAAGCTGTCAGTAAATAAATAAAATACATAAAAAAAGCATGGCAGACAAAGCATGTTTCTGGCATCGGGTGGTTAAAATTATTTGATTTAGTGAAATCAACATTGCAGTCACTAGAGAACATGTAAACCTTTGATTTTTTTTCCCTAAATTTTTCTTCATAAGCATATGGAACTTTTTATTTTTATTTTTTATTTTTTTTTCACATTTCAGGCACTAGTTTTATGTTTTCGGCTACACTTCACTAAGGATGCTACTGTTGTAAATACTGCCAGTGCCACAGTGCGCCAGCTTGTGAGTGTGGTGTTTGAAAGGGTTGTTGCAGAGGATGCAAAGCACTATCAAGAGGAGGAGTAAGTGGTTGATGTATTTATTTGTTGTATGGTTTTATGTTTGGAATTGATTATTTAATTTTCTTTATTGAGGATTTTGTTGATACTGATATCGATTTTACTAATTAGTTTATTGGTGAATACAGCATTGAATTTTTTTTTATTTGCCTGTAATCTCATATTCGTTCATGCAATGTTTGTGCTTGATATTTCTGTTCATGGGCTTAAAGGTCAACAGTCCTTGCTTATATTTGCCATAATTGCTCATTGTATAAGACCAAAGCTGGTATTTATAAAAATTCTCAGTCATTAGGAAATTTTAACCATAGGGTACTATAATACCATTTCCATTTTAAAATACTTGATTTGTCCTAGACTTGCTCTTAGCTGATAAAAAAAAGTTATGACAGCTAGCGATATGATCCAAGGGCAGGAAGGAATTCCCAAGTGGCCAAGAGCCACAGTCAGCTAGTGCATTTCTGTTTACTTGTTGAAATGTTTTCTTGGTCTCTGAGCGATATGTTGATGTTAAACCTATGGAGATGATGTTTGAGCTTACAGGAATACTTTTTAGGACCAATTTTGGGAGACTCATTCTGGCAAGTGTAAGAGCAATGAATAACAGTGGTGGATATTACTGGTTAATGATTTTCATCAATGTGATTTGATGATTCTTCAGTATGAATGTTAATACTATTAGCATTGATGACAGTAATTAGCATTGATGACAGTAAAGTGTGACTGTGCAGGATATGTAATTTCATGGTTAATCTCAATTATAATAAGCTAGTCATACCATTAATCTTTATGTACTTGTAGTAATCATAAGATGAAATTCATAATGTGAGTGAATATGAAGATAAAAAAAAAGAGAATTCATATGAAGCATTGCTGAAATTACAGTTTTTATGAATTAATTAATTTGCATTTATGCAGTTTTCATAGTCTTGTTCTGAGGAGAATTTTCAGTTTCAGAAGCTTTTTCATGCTTGACAGAGATATTAGGACATTTTTTGAGAATCTGTGTAAATACTGGCACTGATGTTTCCCCTTGCAATATTTTTGTTAACTCATCTCCAAATTGTCAGGGGAAGCAAAAATGACTCAGACGAGAGCGTGAACCTTGAGGAGTTGAAGGTGTTGAGTTCCAGCCCACCAAAGACGTTGAGACCTGCTGCAGCTGATGCGTATCTCATGTTCCAGGTACAAGAATCTCAGTCTTTCTCCTGTGTATAGCTTTTAAGGAAATTAATATATGCATGATAATTTAATGGTTTTTAGCTATAGTAGTCTTAAGATAGATATTTCTTCCTCTTGTTTCCTTTTTAGAGTGCCCTTGATATGTTAATTCAGACATATCTTATGTACAAGTGAATAAAGGGTTTATTAAATCTAATACACTGGGGAGATGCCAGATGGTGTCATATCATACCCCTGGGATGACATCTTTGTGCCATTTGCCGTCAAACCTGCTCTAAGCTATGCACACCAAACATTTGCACTTGTTTGGCCCTAGCTGCATTTGTTGAAGAGAAATAATTAATCAGAAGAGGGTTAAATCATGTCCTTAACCTCATTACCTAAAAATTGTATATGTTGTAGTCAAGAGCATAGAGAGTGGAGTAATTTTATGTTTCTACTGCATCTGATTTTTCCCTCGAGCAGCTGACTCCACTGGCACCCTGATGCAGTGGGGGCTCCTGTTGTGGTTGGGTTAAGAATGAACAGAAACAGAGGAATTTGAAATGTTTTGCTGAATGAGATAGGTGGAAGTTGAATGCATTATTTTGTTATTTAAAATGATAGCAAATGGGATAGTCAGTATCCTTCCTTTAAATTATATCAGATAATTGTTTTAGATATAGAACAGGAATATTGCAGAGTGTTCTTGAAACATCATCTTGTATTTATATTGAGATTTTAGGAAATGGAAGCACACACACACGCGCACAGGCACACACGTGCACACACAGGCACACACAGGCACACACAGGCACACACAGGCACACACAGGCACACACATGCACACACAGGCACACACAGGCACACACACGCACACGCCCACACACTCACACACACAGGCGCACGTGCACACATGCATTCGCATATATATTATATATATATATATATATTTTTTTTATTTTACATATATCTCATAGCCCAACTTCATGACATGTATAATCATGTAAATGTCATTTTGATCTGTCTCTTCCTCCTTTTAGGACCTGGTGCAGCTTGTGAATGCTGACCAGCCCCTGTGGTTATTAGGTCTCACAGAGATGACGCGCACCTTTGGCTTAGAACTCCTCGAGTCCGTCCTTACAACATTCCCTGCTGTTTTTTACCATGTAAGTGTTTAGTGTTTTTTTTTTTTTGTATATTACCCTGTTTTATTTTCATTCTGTTTTTAAATCAATGATTTTTTTTTTTTTTTTCTTGAGTTTGCTTTAGTTAACCCAACTTTTTTTTTCTCCCCCTTCTTTTTCTTAAATCTCTCTCCTGTTTTCACTCATATTTTGAAGACAGGTTCAGGACTGTTCAGGATATTAAAACTAAGCTAGCACATTAGAAAGGAATAGATTTTCACACCAGTGTTATTTGGAGAATTCATTTCTGTGCTAATCTATAAATTAGAACATTAATTGGTGTAACTGTATGCTTTTTCAGTTTTTTAAAGACCCTCATTCATTTGATTACCAAAGAGAGAAAAATTTATTAGATAGTTTGGATGGACAGTTAACAATTAGTGTGTTGGTTCTGTGTATATTAGTAATTCTTGACAGGGCCTTCCAAGTTGCATTAGGCTTTCCCTTTGCACAAATTCAACCTGGATGCAGATTCTTTCTTTATGATTCCTTTGGCTTTAGCTTCTGTTCTTGTGTTTGCTAATTTCTCTTCATATGGAATAAACTAGAAAATTCATTTTAGAATTAAGCCTATTGATACAGTAATTTAGATATGTCATTACTCTTGCCATTTTTTTTTTTTTTTTAATCTATATTTGCTTAAATTCCTTATCAGGGCAAGAGTTTCTTAAAATTTTGCTCTCTCTGTCGTGAATAGCAGTGCTCTTTACTGATTCAAATTATTTATTTTTATTTTTAACATATTTTTTAAAACTAATTTTTGGTCAGTGTAAAACCTCTTTAAATTTTTACTGTTCAAATGCTTCTTTTTCTTAAATCTCTCTCCTGTTTTCACTCATATTTTGAAGACAGGTTCAGGACTGTTCAGGATATTAAAACTAAGCTAGCACATTAGAAAGGAATAGATTTTCACACCAGTGTTATTTGGAGAATTCATTTCTGTGCTAATCTATAAATTAGAACATTAATTGGTGTAACTGTATGCTTTTTCAGTTTTATTAAAGACCCTCATTCATTTGATTACCAAAGAGAGAAAAATTTATTTAGATAGTTTGGATGGACAGTTAACAATTAGTGTGTTGGTTCTGTGTATATTAGTAATTCTTGACAGGGCCTTCCAAGTTGCATTAGGCTTTCCCTTTGCACAAATTCAACCTGGATGCAGATTCTTTCTTTATGATTCCTTTGGCTTTAGCTTCTGTTCTTGTGTTTGCTAATTTCTCTTCATATGGAATAAACTAGAAAATTCATTTTAGAATTAAGCCTATTGATACAGTAATTTAGATATGTCATTACTCTTGCCAGGGATATTAAGAGTAATTCTCTTTTTTTTTAGAAAGTAGTTTTTTTAACTACTTCAGATTTTCTTGTTTGTGAATTATGGAAGACCTTTTCCTTATTCTTTGTAATACAGTCATCAGTTCTTTATTGTTACACAATTCACCTTACATTCAGTATGGTTGCATGAAGCTTCAACCTTTTCACTCCTAGGATAATGAATTTGATGGCTAAATTTATGAAAAAGAAAGTGATGATCTCAACAGTGGTAGAAACTAACAGGAAGACTTTAAAGAGGTTTTACAGTGTTTAGTGATTTTCTTACATCTGATAATTTATGAATTTCATCATACAGTATTAGTGGACATTCCATCACTTCTTCACCTCTTTTTTCCCATTTCACTAATTTTCCGAGATCAATAGAAGAGCCTGATCTGTATTTTCTTTTCTTTTAATTTATTTATTAATTTAATTTAATTCTTTCTTTTAATTTATTGCTACTCTCTTTTTGAATAGTTTTTTTTTCACTTTAATTCCTTTCTTTTAATTTTATTGCTACCCTATTTTTGTTTACATTTGCGCTAAAAGACAGGCTTTGACGAGGGGATGAGAACGTTTGGTCTGGAACTGCTTGAGTCCATCCTCACCACTTACCCGACCATTTTCCATGATGTGAGTCTCTTCCCCCCCTCCCCCATTCGCCTACTCCCACTGCATGCCATTGCTTTTGTTTGTCTGTCTGGTCATATGTTTTTGTTTTTTCTTTTTGCTCCTGTGAGTTCTGTGTTTTTTTTTTAATTTGAGCAAGGACCTCGGGTCATATTTTTTGGTGGTGAGTCAGGTGGTTTTGAAGAGTCTTTAGGTTGGAAGAGTATCCGTAGAAATGAAAGGGAAGAATTGGAAAATCAGTAGACCTTTAGTATGAAGTATATATAGTATGAGGAAGATGGAGTTAGTAAATGGTAGGAGAAAAAATGTCATCTGAAGAACAAGGCTTCTCTGTAGTTAAGGATTATAATTGATGGGTTAGAGCTTTACTCTTTGAAGTAGAAAATAGGAGGCTTAGCATAAGGAAGGCATGCCATTTAAGATTACCATAGGATTTTTTTTCATCCAGAATTCTTTATTATATACAGTCATTGAATGAAGCTAATACTCTCAAGTAAGATACAACATGGCATTAGCCGCAAACATTCTTTAGCATCAGGCCAATTCTAAAGGTCCCTGCTTTTTGGTCCTTTAGATAAGCATGGATAAGCCAGATATACTTATTGATATGAAAAATTGTCAGATTTATAGTATGTTTTGATGCTATTTGTAAATAGTGAAATTAAGAATAATTACAAGTATTTGCAGTTGTTGAGTGTTTCATTCATTAGAGAGGATTTTGATGAGTGAGAATTGGATTAGATAAGAAAATGTGAATTCTGTGAGAACTTTATTTGCATGTATAAAGTTATTGATCTTGGTCTTGGAAAATGAAGATAATAAGAAAAGCAGAAAGTTTACTATATTATGTACAATTATCTCCTTTTGCTCAAGGAGTTAGATAAAATTGTTGTAAAATGTGCACCAGATAAACCTGTATTTATAATGTATAAAGTGCTTCATTGCTTTCTTAAACAGTGAAGAAACCTCTTGAAGAAGAAATTATATGTACATAAATGATCAAATGTATGTTTAAATTGTTTCTCTTAACATTGATATTCAGATATATGGAAATGCAGCCCAATAACTCGTTTTATTTTTTACAGTCATGCTTGCACAAGTTGATGCTTATTTCTTTGTTAAGCCACCTTCTGAAGCACACATTTTGCTTTGTTTGTGTATTCATTAGTAAATGACTTTGACACCTTTATACTTAACTTTGTAAGAGAAAGTATCAAGTGATGTTAAACTCTCTGTTGAGATTTTCCATTAGTTTAAAATATTAATTGTGTGAGTTACAATGAAAGTAGTCCAGTGACTATCACATGGTTCTTTTTTCTTCTTAACTCCTTGGATCTGGTTGCTTCATAGCAATCACATGGACCAAAATATAGGCATTTGGCTTATGTGAGTGGTGTGCTCTTCTGGGTGCACTCAAACACTCGTGTGCAGTGACAAGACTCTATGCCTCCCCTTTGCAATATTATTTCTCTTTATATGCATAAGGGTTTTTAGCTTTTATGCGATTTTCAAATGTCCATATTTGTCATTTAATTTGGATTATCCGGGTAGAAATAGACTTTTCATGCACAAACTCCATATCATCCCTCTAGGTAGTCTATAACTCAGCGCAAGAAAAATAAGAATAGATAACATGTTATTATTTGTCTCTTTTTTTAATATTTTTTTTGTAATATTCAATTTTCTGCTCTACAACCTGCATTGCTGGTGTGGCGGCCAAGAATAGGATGTTGAGCTTGGAAATGGCATCCTTCCTGGAACTGGCACTCTTCCAGTCATGACTCATGGACCTTACATTTCACACTCGTTTATCAATGGGAATAATGCAGAAGCCCCGTTCTAAATGCCAAATGAGTTTAGTCACCCTCCAAGAGGTTTGTGCACTCATGGTGAGTCCTTCCCGTCACCCTGGCCTTCAGCTGCAATGCTCACGACTGCAAGTTCCTGGCCCACAGCCTGATTTTCCCATGACAATATGTTCATGTCGCCCGCCCTTCAAGTCAAATTTTTTTGTGACACGATGGTCACATCATATGGATTGTAGGGGTTAAATTTAGTTCTTAAATGGATGACAGGCAATGGTGTAAATAGTCAAGGGTTGTTTGTGTGATTGGCACATGTACGTAACTTTTGCACAAGGAAAGATTGTGAGGTACAAGAACTACTTTGGCTTCTTGACTGCTGAAGTCTTAGTGTGTATTCATATATTTTTATCTATTTATTTAGCTATGAAACTATGCTATCTATCTATCTATCTATCTATCTATCTATCTTGTTCTCACTCTCACTCTCACTCTCATGCACATGCACACACAATGCACACCCACACCCACACCCACACCCACACTCACATCCACACCCACACCCACACCCACACCCATACAAACACTCACACCCGCACCAACACCCACACCCATACCTACACATATACCTACACCTACACCTACACCTACACCTACACCTACACCTATACCTACTTTTATACCAGTTTTTGATCAAGATTTTTTTCATACTCTTTCTCATTCTCCTCCAGTATATTCCCCTTTAAAAAGAGAAAAGAAAAAATAAATTAATCAGACATTTTGCCAAACCACATTACGTCTTTTTTGTTTTCCCCCTTAAGCACCCAGAGTTCAACTTCTTACTGAGGGACCGTGTGTGCGCCCTCGTGATCAAGCTCTTCTCCCCAAACATCAAGTACCGTGCATCAGTCCCCGCCAGTGTCCAGCAAGCCACTCCCCTGGACAAGCCCTACTTCCCCATCGCCATGAGGCTCCTGCGTGTCGTGTCAGTTCTCATTCAGAAGTATTATCCTTTGTTGGTAAGTTACGTGTGCTGTGGCGGCCTTTTCGGATTGTTTTCTTTCTTTTGTCATCTTTCCTTTTTCCCTAATTGCTAAAAATGAATAAAACTGTCCTGTTTTGTGATGGTTGATTTTAAGGTTGTGTGTCTAGGGAAATAAGACCATTCTTGAGTATCGTTGGTTTTAAAGATAGGATACTAGTTCGTGAAAACCCTATATTCATAAAGAGAATGATTTCTTAACTTCTAGTAACATTAACTCTGTCTATCCTACATTTAAAACAGGTTCATAGAAAAGGCTATTGTAAGGATGTATACCATTATGGAAAAGTTATCAGCTTATGATGTTTTTTCTTGTATAAAGGTAGTGTTTTTGAGTTATTTATTCTATTAAATAACTTATTAAGCATCGGATACCAACATTATATCTGCCAGTATGATTATTAAATACGACAACACTTTCAAAATGAAGTAGTGGGAAATTGGATGTTTTGTCAATTATTTTGTTTACCATTTCATCAAACATCATTTTAATTAAATTGTTGTTCAGTGAAGTTATCCACATTTTACCTTACTATTTAATCTTGTTTCCATAAGGTCACACAGTGTGAGATATTCCTCTCATTCATGGTGAAATTCCTGGATGGAGACCGGCCAGTGTGGCAGCGTGGCTTGGCCCTGGAAGTTCTGCACAAGATTGCCACACAGCCAGAGCTCCTCAAGTCTTTCTGCACCAATTATGACATGAAGCCCCATGCAACAAAGATATTCCAGGTAACTGGGTTGTTCGAAACATTCTTAGGTTATACTTTTAGAGGGTACAAGTTTGAGTTAATAGAAAATATGTATATGCCTATATATTTCTGGCAGGAGTCTTTCCAAATCTATTTTTTTTGTATCAGGTTTCATCATTAGAAAAAGTGAATCATTGAAATTTAAATTTATGACAATCATTTAACATTTTCTCCCTTTTTTACAGGACATTGTAAATAGCTTGGGATCCTTTGTCAAATCCCTCTTCATGTCCCCCCAATCAAGCATAACCTCCCAGTTGGCTGGGGGAGGGCAGGGAGGAGGGCAGGGGCAGTCGCCGGCCATGCTAGCTGGTATGCCTGTAGGCCCAGGTGTCTCCCCACAGCCTGCCTTTTTCTATAGGGGTGTCTATCTTCCCCTGTGTGTCAACATTCCCACAGGGCAGGCTAAGTCATCTTAGTAAGTGTTTCGTGATAAGTAGAAATGTTGCTGTAGTTTAGGATGATGTGTTACTATGCATAGGTTAGAAAATAGAACTTTCTGTGTACTACTGTGAATTTTTGTGCTGCCCTCATTTTAACCCATTCGCCACAGATTTATGTTCGGTCCCCTGTAGTTTTTGGTGAATTTTGTTACCTACAGATGGCTCCACATGTGCTCAGCCGGCAAGGAGTCTATCAGTAGGCCCTAGTTACCGATCCTAATTTTCCCATTCATTGAATTGGCGGGAAAACTAGTACCATTGCTTTCGATACTATTATTATTGTTATTGATGCTATGCTTATTGAATTGTCATTAGAATATTTTAGACAATGAAATGATACAAAAAACCCTTTCCTAAAGTGAAGGAAAAGGGTAAACAGGTAAAATAGGTAGTTCTTGATAACTGGCTATTTGGTGATTAAAAACTTGTGGAGCCATCTATGTGTAAATACAATAAATAAACGTGTATCAAAGTGGGTATGGCATCTATTCTTGCCACATGTGGCGAATGGGTTAAGAATTACCAATGAAAATTATTCATTGCATAATTTAACTTTCATGTGCCTTAAATTATTATATTGTCCATGTAATGACTCATTGATAATCAGGCCCGAAGGTCATTTCAAGGCTTGTTTGGTGTGAGTGGGTTTCCTAATAATGAATATCTCTCCCAGCCTTGAGATGCTGGATAAGCTGGAGCCTCCAAACATCCCAGATGGCTATGGTGTAAGTGTTGCCTACTATTGCCTGCTGGACATCATACGCTCCATTCACTTGGTGATGATGGGACCCCAAGCTACAAATGATGGCCAAACAGGTAAACTTTATGTTCTTTTATGAATGTATGTTTGATTTTGTGAATGAATATTTGATTATAAGATATTTCTGTCATTTAATTAACATTATTGTTGCATTTTGGCCTTGCATGTTTTTATTAATTTATTTTCCACATTAACTTTTAAATTTTTCTTGTACAGTCTTCAATTTTTCTCTGAACAATTTCTTGTGACTTTACTGAGAATATGATGAAAGAAATCAAGGGTGAGTTATGTACCTTGCTTTCACTTATGGTATTTGCAAGATCAAAGGAAATGTTATTTTTAGCATGGCAAAGCTATTTATTTGCTGTTTACAATAACTATTCACAGGACTAATGGATCAGTACAAGCCAACGGAGGGTGACAGGAAGATCCATGAACAGCTGGTGAACTCTGCATGGTGTGGCCTTTTGTCAGCACTTACTGTGTTGTTAGAAGCCTGCACAGATGAAGCTGCCACAGAAAATATACTTAAAGCTATGCAGGTGTGTTTAATTTTGTCTGAAGTGCAAGAGAAGGAAAGTGAAGAAGGGATGGAGAAAAAAGAGAATATGGTTTATAAGTATTAATAGAGCCACGGGATCTTTATATGGTATTGATGTATTCTTAAAGAGCATGAAAATGAAAAATTTATTTTTATTCAAGGATTTCTTTCTGCTTTTGTTTTCTGGAAGTAATAAGCAACTTTCTTCATTCCAGACCTTTGCCAGTCTAGCAGGTAAACTAGAGCTGACAACCCCTCGTGACACTTTCATCACAGCCCTTTGCAAGTCGTGTCTGCCTCCACACTACACCTTGACAGTCCTCAATAATGCAAGTGTTGCTGCTGCATCTTCTTCAATGTCTCGCGGTCATCAACGCTCACCCAGTGCTGAATCTCAGCACCCGTACTATGACTCTGAGGTATTTCGCTATAGTGTGTAGATTTGGTAGATCCTGTCTAAACCTGTGTATTTGTGATTTTTTTTTTTCTAAATTTTCTTATATCGAAAACTTCATAACATTAATGTGCTATTAGGGAGCTTTATGAATTTGTCTATAGTATATATAATGGAAGTGATTTACAGTAGCAGTACTCCTTACAGGTACGACACCAGGTAGTAGCTGTGGGGACAGCTCTCGCAACCCCATCTTTACCTGTAGGAGCACAACAAGGCCCGGTGATGCTTACCAATAAGAACCTGCAGTGCATGCGAGCGACACTCTCAATGGCCCACTGCCATGGGGGAGTCCTAGGGGCAGCCTGGCACCTCCTCCTAACTACACTGCAGCATCTTGTTTGGATCTTGGGACTCAAACCATCCACAGGGGGTAGTTTAAAGGTGAGGCTCTTTTATAGAGTTGAAGGGACAAAGGTCTGATGATATTTTTCAAGTGTAGATATATTCATTTTCCCAAAATGTAGTGGTGGATAAATTATCCAGTGGGAATTAGAAGAACAACTCTGGCACAACAATATCTTTCTAAACACTGAAAAATCTAAAAACAAGCAGGACATTAAAGCAACATAGTTTAACTACATTCAGAATGATTTCTAGTTTCTTTATCACTTATCTCTTCCTCTTAGGCTGGAAGAAGCACAACAGAGACCAATGCTGTCATAACAACAGCTGTGATAGCAGACCTTCCTGTTCTGTCTTCTATGCTGAGCCGTCTCTTCGAGTCCTCTCAACATTTGGATGACGTTGCCCTTCATCACCTCATTGATGCACTCTGCCAGCTCTCTCGAGAGTCAATGGAGCTAGCTTATACCAACAGAGAACCCTCTTTGTTTGCTGTAGCAAAATTGCTTGAAACTGGTAAGGTTCTCATGTTGATCAGTCACTTTTTGAATTGAGTTTATAGCTTATTTCAGTAAGTAACCTAAAGAGAGAAAAAGAAAGTGATGAGTTAAGGTCACACAAAGGTATTCTCAAACCAATTGTATTTTTGAATGTTTTGCTAATTTAAACTCTCATTTTTGGCATTAGCATTAATATGTTCATGTTTATTTTCTCTGTCTAGTTATTGTAGTGCATGAATGTGAACATATTGATGGTAATGTTATAAATTAAAGTTTAAATGTAATAGATCAAAGTTTAAAACATTTTGTAAATGCAGTTGGTCTGAGAACACCTTTAGATGTGTGTAGCCTGATATATTTCTGTTTTTTAACTCACATGGTCCAGATGACGTGACCTTCATACCATGAAAAAAAATTGTCTTGAGAGGTGGGTGACATAAACATGTTGCCATGAAAAAAATTGGTTTAGGACCAGGCTGAGGGAGCATGCTGTCATGAGAATTTGGCTGAAGACCAGGGAGATTTGGAATGTAATAAGATTCAATGATTATTTAGGAAGGGGCACTATTTCCATTGAAAATTGAGTTTGGAATGAATCATCCTAAACCCCTTCACAATGGGTGATGCCGCTAGGCGTGAAAATAAACCGCTCGAAAAGTGGTGTGCAGCTGTACACCATGGCGGCGTGCCAAAGCGCGGCGAGCCAGTGATTCGGCCTGATGTACCGAACTCACACGCTCAAAGTCGGCGCGCTGCCATGGTTTGCCAGAGCGTAGATTTTTTTTTTTTGTTTTCTTCACCCGTCACCATTGTGTTAAGCCATGACTGGAAGAGCACAGGCTCCAGGTATGATGCTATTTCCATTCTCAGGATCCTATTCCTGTCAGCTATGAGTGGTGGTCCAGGGTATATTTAAGAATATTTAATATTACAAGAAAATAAGAAGATGACAAATCACAAATGTTTTTTATTGGTATTATTTTTGCACAAAGTTATGGTATACTTAGAGATATGAGATGGAGTCTGTGCAAGGAAAACTGTCTATTACTTTTGGATGCAGCATATCAAATGACAAATACAGGCTTTGGAAAATGGCAAAAAAACTAAAAATGCATTTGCAGAAAAAGAATAAGTAACATTGCAAAGGGGGACCCTGCCTACAAGCTACACACCTGTCAGAATAGCTGCTGAAGTAAGCCAAATACCTAGATTTTGGGCTATGTGTGGGTGGCGAAGTACTCAGCTCCAATGGGTTAATTTTCCTTCAGAATTCCAGTTGGGAAATGTGACATTGATTTAACTTATCTTTGTGATATTTTGTTAAGCCTTCAGCTGGAACAGTATAATTAGATTGAATTAATTTTGCTGATTTGATGTACAGTAACATGTTTCTGAAGCCTCTAGCATGAACAGGGGTGATTGCTATGATCTAATTTGAACATATCAGGTGAAACATATTTATCAAATCTCCTACCTACACAGGGGTTGTTAACCTTGGAAGAGTGGAAGTGCTGTGGAGGCCAGTGACCAATCACCTCTTGGATGTGTGCCAACATCCGCACGTACGGATGAGAGAGTGGGGCGTGGAGGCTGTCACCTACTTGGTTAAGGCTGCCCTCACACACAAACACAACCCTCCTTTGAAGGATAATCAGGTAGTCATTTTTATTTTTTATTTAATTTATTTTAGAAACAAAGCAGAAGGAGAAAAGTATTAGAAAATGTAAAGGAAAGCAGAAAGATTCAAGCATCAATGTTGAATAAAAAATAGGCCACAAAGTTTAAGTTATGTAGATATATAACTTCGTATATACACTGATTCTCTCCTATGTTTGGATTACAGAAACTGCAGACACTGTTGCTGTCGCCGTTATCAGAAATATCACTTGTGGGCCACCCTGATGTACGGCAAAAGCAACTGGAGTCTCTCCTGCATATCCTTCACTCCTGTGGTGAGCTTTTGCATCATGGCTGGCCTCTGATCCTTAATATCATTGGGGCTATCAATGACAATCACAGGTATGTTTTGGGGTTTCTAAAAGTATTACAGAAATTCGGAGTGAATGGGTGATACGTCATAAAGCTAGAGTTACAAAATATGACTAGCAGAATTAAGGAGGATTGGTGAGAATTTAGAGTATTTGGATGATATGAATTTAGTAACAGTCATTGAAGTGAGAATTTCATCTTTCTAAGTTTAACATGGCACGTGTTCTGTTCTTGTTGATTCCTATTCATTCCACTCCATTCCAGTGAGCATTTGGTGCGACTGGCCTTCCAGTGCTTGCAGTTGGTGGTTACAGATTTCCTGCCCCTCATGCCATGGGCTTGCTTACCTCTCACTGTGGATACAGCAGCAAAGTTTGGTTCTCAGACTCAGGAGCTGAATATCTCTCTCACTGCTATTGGCCTTATGGTTAGTAGGGCCTTGGTTGTTAATTTAGATGTGTTTTGCTGTCCGTTTGTTTGCCAAAAGTTAGAATGTTGTTTTGTTTATATTTATTATAAATGAAGAAAACAACAAATTGCTATTACTAATTTACAGCTGTCTTTGTTTTTTTTCAGTGGAACATTTCAGACTATTTCTACCAGAATCAGGAGAAGCTTCGTGCCTCCCTTACGTCTGACAACCAAGTATTCCCTGACTTTCCTGGGGTGCCCAACATGCCACCTTTTGACAAGCTGTGGATGTGCCTCTATGCTAGACTAGGTTGTTAGAAGTTTTAAATCTATTTTGGAAATGTTAAAGTGGATCATTTGTTGCATTTTCGAATGAATTAAATAATTCTATTTAATTTACCTTAATTTTAATCAGCAGTCTGTAATAGGTAATAAGATTAGTGTCTAGAGTGGAGAACTATTAAACATTGCAAGATTTTGTTTGAAAACTGACATGGTGATCTCAGCAATCCGGAGGCCATTAAGACAGTTCTCTCTTTTAGGTGACTTATGTGTTGACTCAAGACCAGCTGTTCGCAAGTCTGCAGGTCAGACATTATTCTCCACAATTGCAGCTCATGGTGCATTACTTCACAACCAAACTTGGCAAGCAGTCTTGTGGCAGGTATGGTACTTTACTTGTAAGATAATATAGAATAATGAAGAGTAGTAAGTAGATATAGAGACATTACTTGAAATTACCAGTTTTACTTACTGTTTTTCTGTTCCAATCCAAAGGTATTGTTCCCTCTGCTGGACAAAGTACGTCAGTTGTCGGACTCTGCAAGCACAGACAAAGTGGACCAAGGTGGCAATATTTTGATACACCACTCACGCAACACTCAGCAGAAACAATGGGCTGAGACACAGGTTTGTAAAGCTTCACTTCGGTGGAAAAGAACTGTTGCTAAATAAGATGATTAATCCATATCTGCCAGGCCATGCCTATAACTGTCATAACAAACGGACTCATCATGCTGGGTATGGCTATAGGCGTTGCCATGCGCTGAAACAAGCTGAGCAGGAAGTTCTGCTAGATGTGGCAGATCAAATGGCAGTTGCTAAAAGTCACTAGAGTCAGTGACACTGAAAGATTTTTGATACCGTCATTGAAGGGTTAACAAAACAAAAATAAATTATTTTTCCCACCAAATTACTCATAAGATCTAATTATATTCATCCACCATAAAACTGAAAATACTGCAGATAGTAACAATTTGTAAACTGTGCATAAATATGGCATCAGTTATGTCAGGGCAAAGCTGTTACTGACCATTCCTCGTTAATTACTAGGTGCTGACACTGTCTGGTGTAGCGAGGGTGTTTAGTACAAAGCAGAAGATCCTTCAGGGATTGGGTGACTTTCCACGGGCATGGGCTCTTCTGCTGGACTTCATCCATACAGCGGCACTCTCCAAAAGCAATGAGGTAAGAGCTGAGAAGGGAGGGAATGGACTGGATAGCAATGTGTAGACACTGAGATTAGTTTATGTGAAAATGTTTGTTTTTGTGAATGATGTTGAGATACGTAAAGATAAGATTAGGACAGAGGCAGAAGGTGAGTTGGTGCTTAGGGTATTGAATGAGTTAATGAGAATGAGAATGAGAGTAATAGGTGTGAGTTAAAGGAAGTGAGTGAATTAATGAATGAGGGAGTAAATGAGCAAATGAGTTGGTGAGTGACTAAGTGAATGAGTGATATTACTGATTCATAAGTGTATTCCAGTAGGGAATGATGCACAAAAGTCTATTGTAGTAATTTACCAACCTTGTCTTCAACAGGTATCTTTAGCTGCTCTTAAGTCACTCCAGGAGATGCTTCAGGCAGGACGGTCATCTACTGTTGTCTCATCAGGTTCCTCAGATGACTTAAGTTCCTCAAATCTACAGTCTCCACTTCCAGAAGATTCTATAGCAAATTGGAACACTGCTTGGAAAGTGAGTCTTCACATGTATTTGCATGATAATTCAGAGAGAGAGTGATTTTGGTGTTTGCATTTTTTTCTGTTAAAATTATGTTCATATGTATATCATAGAATAGAGCATCGATATCAAGGCTATACATAGGCATATTTTGATAAGTTATAGTAAATTCTGACAGGCCATATAACTCTGGGCTCAAATTGAATCCCTTGTTTGCAGGTGTGGCACACCATTGGGACAGAAGTGACCAAACCTCCACCAGAAGAAGTGACAAGAGGTTCTGATGCATATATTCCTTCTCAGCCTTTCCTCACGGCCTTGGTTCACATTTTCCCACACCTTTTCCAGCATATAAAACCAAGGTGAGTTGTTACTGTGAAGGAGAAAAAAGGAATGCTACAAATTAAGGTAACAGCAGTTGTGGAGGTCTTTCTTAGACATATTTTGTGATTGGTGTAGGTGGTATGCTAGAATTAGATACTTAATTCCTCAGTCATCTAATTCACTAATAATTTGAGTTAGTACAGTATGGTCTGTAATATCAGAGAAAAATAACATAAGTACTTGAAACAGATATCTATTGGATTAAAAGAGTTGGAACATGCACCAACAGTTTATACCTCTTACTTCACAGATTTGTTGTTAGTGACTTTACCCGATTGGCGGCAGTGCTGTCTGGCTGTGTATCAGTCCCTGTTCATGGGGAATCCTCTCCTTTCATTCATCCATCGTTCACGGATGTTGTGGTGACACCTCTACAAGAGGGTGTCTTGCAGGCTCTCACAGTAATAGAGAAGGAGGTTAGTTGATATATTATAATTTATAATAAAAAATTCAGTCTTATATTTATATGTTTTTTTAGTTTTAAAATTTCTGAAATCTTTTACATGTCTGTTCCTTGAAGAATCGACTTTGTATTTTTTTACCCCTAAAGATAACAGAAGGAAGTGTATCATCCAGAGCTATGGTTCCAGAACTCTTCACTCTACTTCTACAGTTTTCACACTACAGTTGTCAAGCTCCAAGTTATGGGAATGTGCTCACAAGACCTCACACTACCAAGGGCTCGGTAAGTAGCGGTGTTGTAACGTTGAATTGTATGTTTCTGTTTGTAGGTGTAAAGTTATTTTTATTGATTACATTTGTTTATTTGTTTTTCATGGTTTACAAGTGTATGAGGATGCGAAAGTGTTTCTGTTTCTGTGTACATGAGTCTTTTGTGAACATGCCTGGCCATTGTCAAGAACATTGGGTGTGGGATGGCCTGACTAAAGTTAGTGGATAAGAATATGTATTGTCCGGTAATTATTCAGTGAGGCATCCAACCATTATTTTTTTACTGATAACTGAAGATGGAACAGTTCTTGACTATGGCTCATACATTGGGGTCTGCATTATATGCTCAGGTACTGCTAGGTAGTATGACTATCTGTTATGTATTAAGGATAAACAGGTAATTAGTTTTTTTGTTTTGTTTTTTTAATTATCATGTAACACTTATGAAGAAATTCTCTCATTTGGTTCAAATGATGATGTATCAGTTATCTCGCAAACGTTAGTTTTATTTACAGGCAGATTGGGTGACTATGAACTTCGTGCCATTTGCTGAGCGCTCCATGTCCATGTTGGTGACTCTGTACCAAACCACCTGTGCCTGGAAGGAGGTGATAGAGGCTCAAGTCTTGAAGAATATTATACAGGTGTGTTGTTTCGGTTTGGCTATATATATTTCCTAGATGGCAAAAAAAAATTTCCTATAGATGAAGGATAACTTGCCATTGAAATCCTGTTCTTTCAGTTTTATTGTAAGACATCAGTGATTTCTGGTTGACCACGTGACCAGTTGTCAGTTCATGTATTTCTTTAACAATATTCTTATATCATTAAATATGGATGTATTGGGTTTTTATCTCATGGTATTTTCTGATTTCACAGGGTATTACAATGCCCCTCCACAAAAAGTACCGGTGCCCGGCACAGACCACATGGAAGCTAGCTATTACAACACTCCTCGCAGTGCTGCAGGAAGGCCTGCAACTTGCGAGAGAACATCCGACTCACTTTCGGGAAATGTGGCCTGTCTTGGCCACTGCCCTCGAGAGTTTCCTGTTTTCTGAGAGGTGAGAACCTATTTCAGCTGCTTCATTTTGAAGAATTGTAGATTCAATTATTAAGAAGAATAAATGTGAAGTAGGGTGAATGCATACATAAATAAGTGACAGTAAACTGACAGATGAATTAGTTTTGTATTATTTTGTTGTGCATTGCTGAAGTCAACCTTTTTACTTTGATTTTAAATTTGATTAATTGTTTAAGAGAAAAATTTCTAAAAGGAGGAATAAGTAGGTGAATGTGGATAGCTGGTAACAATAAGAAATATATAAAAGAAAAATAGCAGATAATAAATAACCAAAGAAATGGCTGACAAATCAAAAAGAACACAAATCATTGTTATTGTCAGTAATTAAGTATTCATGATAACTCATCTGATTAGTGACAATTTAACCCTATAAGTTGCCTCTAAAAAGGACCTAAGGGTTAATGATTAATCCAGAAGGAGTTGAGGGCTCTGTATCCTTATGGGAGCAGATAGAATTTATAAAGATAACAGATAGAATCACTGTACTAACAACCCCTCTAAGCTGGCACTCTGGCTTAAGGTAGAAATTACCCTGGACAACCATTGAAAAAAGTGGCATCTACTGGGCTGAGGCAATTAGGAAGTAATCAACTCCAGCTTACCACCATTATTCTGATGGGGGAGTTCCATATTAACCCATTGCCGCCGGGGAAAATGAATAAAAAATGGGGAAAATGCTGTACTCATTTTTTTTATTTTTGTGAAATGTCTCTGTACATTGGTGGCTCTGCTAGTCTTACTAATGCTATAAATATAGATGGTGTTATTTTTAACAGCAAATTAGGATAACGTTAAATATTTTCGTAATTCGATGAAAAGGGTGAACGGTAAGTCAAACTAGGCAAATAAGGCACAGAAAGCAGGGATAAATCACAAACGGGTAACCAAATGTGAGGAAGTAGAGTTTTATAGGGATGATAATAAAAAATGATGATTAAATAATAATAGATTTATATATTGTCCATTTCAGCCCACCCCCAGCAAACCAAAGCAGTGAAGATGCGGAGAGAGATGAGAGCATAGACTGCCAAGTAGTGGAACTCATACGAGAAGAAATCTTACCATACGCTTCCACGACTCCCAGTGACTTTATTGTCTCCATTATGGTACTACTTAATAAGGGTTCAATAGAATCTGCATCAGGAGGTGATTCAGGTAAGAATTTTATGACATTTGGAAGTGGGAATTTGATAAATAGTAGTAGATTTAGTAATGATAACAACAGCAATGAATATTAACCCATTGGCACTGGGTGGCTGCACTGAATGCAGTAGTTCTGTGATATAATAGTGCTAATGATAGTGATAGTGATATGGTAGTGATGGTGATAGTGATAGAAATAGTGATGGTAAAGATGATTGTTATATTGATGGTGAAGATGATGTTGATAATGATAATGAAATTGATGATATTGATAATTAAAATAGTAATATAAATAATATTAACCCAAGCACTATGTACTGTTCCCTGTTTTTTTTTTTTTTTTTTTTTTATTTCTTTTTTTATTAATTTTTATTTTTTTATTTGTTTTATTTTCTTTTTTTAATTTTGTTACATACAGATGGCTCCTCACGTGCTCAGCCATCAAGGAGTCTATCAGTAGCCCCTAGTAACCACACCTGATTTCCCCATTCCTTGAATTTGCGGAAAAATGTGCTTTTCTTTCTAATACTATCAATATTGATATTGTTATTATTCTTATTGAGTTTATGATTATTAAATTGTTTTATTCAAAAGTTTTTCCACTTTATATAAAAAAGAACAGTAATAATAGTAATGATAATGATAATGATAATGATAATAATAGTAATAATAATAATAATAATGAAAAAAAATAATAGTAATAATAGTAATGTTAATAGTAATGATAATAGTAATAGTAATAGTAATAGTAATAATAGGAATAATGATATTTGTGATGATAATAATAATGATGATAGTAATGCTGATGGTAATTATCCTTATAACTGGAACAACTGACCTTTTATAGAGTGTGAAGGCTTCAAGCTGCGAGAGGAGTTTGCTAAGACATGCTTCGAGACCCTCCTGCAGTTCTCACTACTCGCACCGACTGATTTTGATGTCAAGCTAGATGGCTCAGGTATGAGTTTTTTAGAACATGCTCTTGATTCTGAGATTAGTGATCATTTTTTTGTTTGTTTGTTCTAGGCTGTGTTCTTCTCTGTTGTAAAAATAGATATTTAAATGATACGGAAGTTTATGGAAGGAAAGAAAAAAAAGAATTGAAATCTGTAGTATAATTGCCATAATTTATTTGGAAAGAGATTGGAAATTGACTACAGTTATTATTTTGATTTTATAAAATGGCAATTTTTTTTCCTCTTTATATAAAAAAAAAGAACAGTAATTGTAACTGGCAAACTCTACAACTTCAGCTCAAGGCTCAACAGGAAACATGGATAAATTAGGAGCCGCCCCTCACGCGACCACAAAATTAGCCGTCACCTCTCTGCTTCATCGGTTTAGAGAAGTCCTTGTCAAGTATGTGGAAGACGAGAAGCTGAGTGGGAAGGCACCACTACCAAGGTATGTCTTTCTTGCAGGGTTTGGGTGTCTAGGTTTTTTTTGTGGATTTATCAGTGCATATGGTGTGTACTTCCTATATTGGATAAGGTGCTGGGACTCTGCCATTGCATGTTTTTGTAAGAATGATGGATATATAAGATTTGATTTGTATTTGATAAACTGCTTTGTACCAGATTTGATTTGGGCATTTTACTAACGGCTGGTCTTTTTTCAGACATAGAATAGCTGAAATAAGTTTCGTCTTGAAGGCCATTGCGACGTTGTTGAAATCCTTAAAGACAGCACCAATTGAGAAAGGTAATTGCTGAAGGTAGATTTACTCTTATATTATATCAGGGAAACAAAGTATTTTACTTACATTTTCTTGTGTGAAGTTATATTTGATTATTATTGTTTTTCTTTCTATTTTCCTGTTTAGTAACTGTATCGTAACTTTTATTTGAAATAGATAATGATAATGATAATGATAATGATAATGATAATGATAATGATAATGATAATGATAATGATAATGATAATGATAATGATAATGATAATGATAATGATAATGATAATGATAATGATAATGATAATGATAATGATAATGATAATGATAATGATAATGATAATGATAATGATAATGATAATGATAATGATAATGATAATGATAATGATAATGATAATGATAATGATAATGATAATGATAATGATAATGATAATGATAATGATAATGATAATGATAATGATAATGATAATGATAATGATAATGATAATGATAATGATAATGATAATGATAATGATAATGATAATGATAATGATAATGATAATGATAATGATAATGATAATGATAATGATAATGATAATGATAATGATAATGATAATGATAATGATAATGATAATGATAATGATAATGATAATGATAATGATAATGATAATGATAATGATAATGATAATGATAATGATAATGATAATGATAATGATAATGATAATGATAATGATAATGATAATGATAATGATAATGATAATGATAATGATAATGATAATGATAATGATAATGATAATGATAATGATAATGATAATGATAATGATAATGATAATGATAATGATAATGATAATGATAATGATAATGATAATGATAATGATAATGATAATGATAATGATAATGATAATGATAATGATAATGATAATGATAATGATAATGATAATGATAATGATAATGATAATGATAATGATAATGATAATGATAATGATAATGATAATGATAATGATAATGATAATGATAATGATAATGATAATGATAATGATAATGATAATGATAATGATAATGATAATGATAATGATAATGATAATGATAATGATAATGATAATGATAATGATAATGATAATGATAATGATAATGATAATGATAATGATAATGATAATGATAATGATAATGATAATGATAATGATAATGATAATGATAATGATAATGATAATGATAATGATAATGATAATGATAATGATAATGATAATGATAATGATAATGATAATGATAATGATAATGATAATGATAATGATAATGATAATGATAATGATAATGATAATGATAATGATAATGATAATGATAATGATAATGATAATGATAATGATAATGATAATGATAATGATAATGATAATGATAATGATAATGATAATGATAATGATAATGATAATGATAATGATAATGATAATGATAATGATAATGATAATGATAATGATAATGATAATGATAATGATAATGATAATGATAATGATAATGATAATGATAATGATAATGATAATGATAATGATAATGATAATGATAATGATAATGATAATGATAATGATAATGATAATGATAATGATAATGATAATGATAATGATAATGATAATGATAATGATAATGATAATGATAATGATAATGATAATGATAATGATAATGATAATGATAATGATAATGATAATGATAATGATAATGATAATGATAATGATAATGATAATGATAATGATAATGATAATGATAATGATAATGATAATGATAATGATAATGATAATGATAATGATAATGATAATGATAATGATAATGATAATGATAATGATAATGATAATGATAATGATAATGATAATGATAATGATAATGATAATGATAATGATAATGATAATGATAATGATAATGATAATGATAATGATAATGATAATGATAATGATAATGATAATGATAATGATAATGATAATGATAATGATAATGATAATGATAATGATAATGATAATGATAATGATAATGATAATGATAATGATAATGATAATGATAATGATAATGATAATGATAATGATAATGATAATGATAATGATAATGATAATGATAATGATAATGATAATGATAATGATAATGATAATGATAATGATAATGATAATGATAATGATAATGATAATGATAATGATAATGATAATGATAATGATAATGATAATGATAATGATAATGATAATGATAATGATAATGATAATGATAATGATAATGATAATGATAATGATAATGATAATGATAATGATAATGATAATGATAATGATAATGATAATGATAATGATAATGATAATGATAATGATAATGATAATGATAATGATAATGATAATGATAATGATAATGATAATGATAATGATAATGATAATGATAATGATAATGATAATGATAATGATAATGATAATGATAATGATAATGATAATGATAATGATAATGATAATGATAATGATAATGATAATGATAATGATAATGATAATGATAATGATAATGATAATGATAATGATAATGATAATGATAATGATAATGATAATGATAATGATAATGATAATGATAATGATAATGATAATGATAATGATAATGATAATGATAATGATAATGATAATGATAATGATAATGATAATGATAATGATAATGATAATGATAATGATAATGATAATGATAATGATAATGATAATGATAATGATAATGATAATGATAATGATAATGATAATGATAATGATAATGATAATGATAATGATAATGATAATGATAATGATAATGATAATGATAATGATAATGATAATGATAATGATAATGATAATGATAATGATAATGATAATGATAATGATAATGATAATGATAATGATAATGATAATGATAATGATAATGATAATGATAATGATAATGATAATGATAATGATAATGATAATGATAATGATAATGATAATGATAATGATAATGATAATGATAATGATAATGATAATGATAATGATAATGATAATGATAATGATAATGATAATGATAATGATAATGATAATGATAATGATAATGATAATGATAATGATAATGATAATGATAATGATAATGATAATGATAATGATAATGATAATGATAATGATAATGATAATGATAATGATAATGATAATGATAATGATAATGATAATGATAATGATAATGATAATGATAATGATAATGATAATGATAATGATAATGATAATGATAATGATAATGATAATGATAATGATAATGATAATGATAATGATAATGATAATGATAATGATAATGATAATGATAATGATAATGATAATGATAATGATAATGATAATGATAATGATAATGATAATGATAATGATAATGATAATGATAATGATAATGATAATGATAATGATAATGATAATGATAATGATAATGATAATGATAATGATAATGATAATGATAATGATAATGATAATGATAATGATAATGATAATGATAATGATAATGATAATGATAATGATAATGATAATGATAATGATAATGATAATGATAATGATAATGATAATGATAATGATAATGATAATGATAATGATAATGATAATGATAATGATAATGATAATGATAATGATAATGATAATGATAATGATAATGATAATGATAATGATAATGATAATGATAATGATAATGATAATGATAATGATAATGATAATGATAATGATAATGATAATGATAATGATAATGATAATGATAATGATAATGAACGAGACGACCACTCTTTAAGATCCCCACCCAGAATGCAAGGTTCGCGAATGTAAAATGCGTGAATGAAAATCAGTCGCTTCTGAACGTTAACCCCTTTATCATCAAAAAGGTCCTTGATGGTCAAGTGGACGGCGACTTTGATTTTGTCAAAAAATTGCGAGATGGAAGCCTCCTTGTTAAAGTACAATTCAACTCCCAGATTAAGGATTTACTTAAGCTGACGCAAATTCATGATCTTCGAGTTAAAGTAACTATTCCCATTGGCCCAAATACCTGTAAGGGAGTAATCTTTCACAGGGATTTGAGGAAATTCTTGAGAGCATGAAGGACCAAGACGTAGTGGACGTTCATTGTATGACCAAGAAGGACGGGAATATGCGAACGAAAACTGGACTGTGTTTTTTGACCTTTGCCCTGAATAAAATCCCTGAATATGTCAATGTCGGTTATGAGCGTGTTCAAGTAAGACCTTATGTCCAAAAGCCAATGCATTGTAATAGATGCCAAAAATTCGGACACACCTCATTAAGATGTATTGATAAAGACTCTGCTAAATTTACCTGTCGTAAATGTGCTGAAGCCCATGACACCATCACATGTACTAGCCAGATTTCTAAATGTGCTAACTGTGGAGGTCCCCATCAGTCAGGATCTGCCGAGTGCAGCATCCTGAAGAAGGAGACTGAGACATTAGCATATATGAGAAAGCATGAAGTTAGTTATACTGAAGCTAAGAGGAAAGTTGAAAGTTTGACACACAAACCTGATACTTCCTATGCTGCAGCACTAACTAACAACACCCATAGTACAAGTGAAGTCAGTCAACAGCTTGCTGCTAAGGATAAGGAAATTGCTGAACTTAAACAAACTGTCAAAGAATTAAATATTAAAGTTTATCAACTGACTAAATTGGTCGATCAAATGGCTGCATCAACCCAGCATAAACATCAAAAGGAGGATGATACCGAATCACAGTCCGGAGCGCACCTTCCTGTCCGGGCTACTCCTGTGAGGACTTCGTCTGGCTCGCGATCGGTTTCTCGAGAGAGAAGCAGATCGCAATCGGCCAGTCGTCTCCCTCGCCAGGAGGTGCAGGACATGGAGGCTTCTGTCTCCAAACCATCCCGTGAGAGGTCCCCGGGAAGCGAGGGAGAGGAGGCGCCTCCCTCCCATAAAAAGAAAATTCGAACTGGTGGACAAGGCACTTCCAAACCCCATAAAACGTAATCTTCGCGTCAACCATTATACAATGGAACTGTCGAAGTATTAGATCTAAAGTAAATGACCTTAAATTATTAGCCTCGTCCTATGCTCCTGATATTATAGTCCTCCAAGAAACCCATTTAACCCCTTGCCGCCGGGTGACGGCGATACGCGTGTAAACAAATCGCTTGAAAGGTGGCGTACGGCCAAACCAGCCGGCGGCGCGCCAAAGTGCGGCGAGCCAGTGATTCGGGCTGACGCCCCGTACTCCTGCGCTCAAAGTCGGCGCGCTGCCTTTGTTTGCCAGAGCGTAGAGTTTTATTTTCCTTTTGTACACCCGGCGTCATTGGGTTAACGCAATTCGTCTCTGACGAGGTTGTTTCGCTGAGGAACTACCATCTGTGTCGGAAGGACCGTGAGGGTAGGGGTGGAGGCGGAGTCGCCATGTACATCCACCAAAACCTCCCTTTTACAGAAGTGACTTTTAATTCTACTTTGGAGTTTGTCGCATGCAAAGTAAAAATTAATGGCACGTATCTGGCTATATGTTCAGTTTATTGTCCACCTGATACAGTGATAATCTATGATGAGCTTTTTGCTCTTCAGGAACGTCTGCCACAAAATAAAGTAATTTTAGGTGATTTTAATGCTCATCATACGTTATGGGGTTCCCTGCGGGTGGATGGTAGAGGTGAGCAAGTAGTTAAGTTAATTAATGAGTCTGATTTAGTCCTTCTGAACGATGGTAGTCCCACGCGGGTGGACGATAATACCGGTAATTTGAGCTTTATTGACCTATCACTGGTCTCTTCATCAGTAGCAGCTAAGTGCCTGTGGCACACCATTGACGACTCGTTGGGAAGCGATCACCTTCCTATTTTGATTGAATATTCATGCGACACAGTGAGAACGCCTTCAGCGCCTAAATTTAACGTAAAAAGAGCAGACTGGGTCGCCTTCACAAGGAGCGTCAAGCTCGAACTTGTTGGAGAGACCATTGATGATAAAGTAAACAACATTCAGAATTCGATTTTAGAAGCAGCTTTGCTATCCATTCCTAAAACTTCGACAGATAGCGTTAAGCATAGAGTTCCATGGTGGACACCAGATTGCCGCAGGGTGCTGTGCCGACGCAATAAGGCCTACAGGCTTTTCAAGAATAACATCACAAACGAGAACTTTTGCAATTACAAACAAGCAAGAGCTAGGGCTCGTAGAGTAATTAGACAAGCTAAAAGAGACTCCTGGCGGAGCTTTGTCTCTACAATAAACAGTAACACAAAAACATCAGAGGTTTGGTCCACAATCAATAAAATAAATAAGAAAAAATCATCTTTCAAAATTAACATCATTATTTATGAGGGTAATTATTTAGATTCACCTAGAGACATTGCTAATGCACTCGCCAGGCAGTTCTCTCATACAAGCAGTTCAGCAAACTATCATCCCGCCTTCCTGCCCATTAAGGAAGCGGCTGAACTGCAACCAATTCACTTTGCCACAGGAGATGACTTTGATTACAATAAAGATCTTACAATAGATGAGCTTGTCCGAGCCCTAGAAGCCTGTAGAGGAACATCCCCAGGCCCCGATGAGTCGGTATAGATCTCTCTACCATCGATACCCTGGTTCATTCAAATATAGCGCCATGGGAAACCCCTAACTTTTCTATCATGGAAGCCTGGCTTCCATCAGCCAAGGCCATGGCGCCGGAGGTGGAGGTATGCCAGAGGTTCAGAGAGATCCTTATTAAACATCTAAACTTTTTTCATATATATACCGACGGCTCCAAAACAGATGAGTGTGTGGGTGCGGGTGTATGGTCGACTGAATGTGAACTAAAGTTCAGACTGCCGAATCATGCATCAATTTTTATTGCCGAACTTTTTGCAATTGATAAAGCTATAGATTTTGCACTATCGACGACCCACGATAGAATAGTTATTTTTTCTGATTCACTAAGTTCACTTAAAGCTATTAAATCCTTAGAAACTACTAAAAATTAATTGCTGGGTAATATCATTCGTAAGTTACATGGTGCCAACAAATCAATCAAGCTAATATGGGTGCCAGGCCACTCTGGTATCTATGGCAATGAACAGGCTGACAAACTAGCCGGGTCAACTGACGATCTGGACACTACCATAGTTCGTACAGATCTCAGGTGTTTTGTGTCTCTTATAAAAGCAAAAATGCATCTCCTGTGGCAAAGTGAGTGGACCAACCTCCAACTCACAAACAAATTTAAGCAAACCATAGAACTGTGGGACACATCCCACAGGAAAGAGAGAAGGGAGGAGGTGGTGTTGGCCCGCCTTAGGGTCAACGCCTCAAGACTTACCCACCTCACTCCCTACATAGAAAAGAAATACCCTCCACAATGCCCCTCCTGCAATACAATCCTTACCCTAAATCACATCCTGACAGTCTGCAACCAATACAGTATACAAAGACAAAAAATTAAGAATTACTTCCTACTAATAAATAAAGAATTCACACTAATAAATATATTATCAGATAATGAAAAAATAATAAGTAAAGTAATCACTTTTTTAAGGGAGACAAAACTTTATGACCTTATATAGATTGATAGAATAAATAGGATCCATTGGCTTAATAACCTTGGCCACATGCCGCTGGTTGATAGCCAAGAAATCCAACAAAAGTAAAAAAAAAAAACAGTGTTATCATTCTTATTGATAGTGTGATTATTAAATTGTTATTAAAATATTAATAACATCAAAGGACAATAAAATAATAGAAGTGAAGCTTTCAAAAAATGAAAGAAAAGAGTAAACAGATGAGTTAGGTAAGACTAATAGCTGACTCCTTGATGACTAAGCACTTGTAGAGACAATATATAAAACTTTTATTACAGTAGGCTTTGTAAAGCCCCACGTGGCTTGCAATAACTTTTATTGCAATATATATGTTAACTAGCATCAATAAACCTTTAAGTGATCTGGAAAAAGTCTTGGTGAATATCAAAACTGTTATAAAAGCTTCACAGGAAACCATCATGTATAGTCTACTTGTATTGTGCACTTTGTTTATGTTAGGAATTTTGGACATTTTCTATCAGCTTTTGTATATATGATACAGTGGATTCATTCTAGTGATTTGTACAGGTTATGAGCAGATTAATGCACAGGATGCAAAAATGAGAAAAGTTGAACACGACCAAATGTGAACATAAAATTCTCTGAAATAGTTCCTCTGCAATACATGGCAGTGTTTTTTTTAGCTTCCAGTTCAAAATGAGTGGATTTAATGGATTAACACTTCGGCAGAAAAGTTTTTCATGGTCTATTGAAAAACAAGTTTTTGTGTTGGTATGCAAGGAAGTTTAAATAGCACCAAGAGAGTTAATGAATACAATTTCCTCCTTGACAGTGGACAGCATGACCTGGGCACAGCTGATTGGACTGTATCCTCACCTGGTGGAAGTAGGAGGTGCCAGCAACAATGGGACTCCACAGCTATGGCGTTCCCTGAGAGAAGTCCTTCTGCAGTATGCCCAACTGTTGCGTGCTCCTGTGGCCACCTCGGAGGCTGATAGTAATGATAATCAGGTTGTCAGTATGGTGAATGGAACATAGAGGAAATAAAGTATTAGATATTTGAAATGTCATTTTAATACATGATGTAGGTTGAGTGAATATTAGTATTAGGAAAGACTGTGGTTTGGAAATTGTATTTTTGGTATTGTTGTTTATTATTACAAGAAAAGAAAATTTAGGCCATTGCTGTAGAAATAAGGACATTGATTGTGTTCAGGGAAACAGAATGAAAAAAAAAAGAGGGAAAGAGGGAGAGAAGGTAATTAAAGCAGTTTGATAATGAAACTAAGCAGTGGATGAAAGAGATTAAAGAAGCTGGAAATTTTGATTGAGCACACCCATTATGATATAAGAGAGATATCACATTTTGATAATGCTTCTGAATTCATGTATGGATAGTAATGGCAGCTCAATGTGTAAAGAAAAATGAAAATGAAATTTATTTTATATTTTCTTTCTAGGGATTTGTTGTCATTATGAACAGTAATATTATTTTATTTGAAATGTGCCAGTCTAGCATAGATAAGAGAGCTCCTGTGCTTTATAAGCAGTGGAAAAACCTACCATGTTTATTTTCTCCAATTGCATAGTGATACACAAAAGTCTGTGGAAATGAATGTGATGTCTTTTTGATGAGTCTGTTGAAAAATGGAGATCCCGTTTTCTTTGTGTGACTGGTGATTGATGACTGTTGTCCACGTGACTCTCAGCTGAAACGAAGGGAAAATACAGAATTCTGATTTACTCCTAAGAATCCTCACCACCTTTTGATATATTTTATCCCCCCCCCCCCTTTCCCATCCACATACACGCTGGGGAGTATCATAGTGGTCTGACTTGCAATATTCCTATGCACGCTGTTTTGCAGATCACTTTTCAATAAATTGCTTTGCTGTTTCTCTGTTGAGTGATCTGTATGCAGTTTTCTGGTACTGTTATATATATATATATATATATATATATATATATATATATATATATATATATATATATATATATATATATATATAATGATTATTATGAAGGCTTATTACAGTATAAGTTTAATATATAAGAAATGTGTACCTGTCCATGGGAGCAAAGAGAAAATGGGATATGGAATAGAACGTTTTTCTCTTTTCTTCTGAAATAGAATAAATTTTGTCTTTATGGTAGAACTGATCTGCCATCATGCAAATATTGAAATATGTTTTGTCTGCAGTGGTTATCTATAACCATATTCTTTCTTACTTTTCTGTTTTTCTTTCTTTTCTATTTTTTTCTAAAGAAATCAATTTTATTTTACAATTCATTTTTTAATGCATGATGTAAATAAGAAAGGGAGATCTTTGGTCACTTTCTTCTAGAGTCCAGATATTTCTTTCTTTCTTTTTTTTATACAGTTTCCTATCTTGGGAGGGCATTTTCTTTCAAATCTTAGTTACTGTCTTGGACTTTCGTAGGTATGGTGCATTATTTTCCATTAGGCAATATTTTCTTTATTTATACTATTGTTATTATTATCTTTTAAAATTTCTAGTGTATGTCCAGTCCAGTTTTGAAAATACTTAGTCCAAAGGAGAATAACAAGAGAATGTATAAACACATAATGGATACATTGTCTTATTCTTTCATTCTTTCTCTATTTTGTTCCTGGTGTTCTGGACAGTATGCTGCCACTTGTGTAGCAGATGATGTATTTCATATTTGCCTTTCAGAAGTATTTGAAGGTAATTTTGCTGCCAGTCCTTGCAAGTTTGTTGTAACATCCTGTATTGAACACAAGGGGCCCAATGTTAACAGCCACTTAATTTTACTGAGCAGGAAATGTTAAGAGTGCTAATACTATTCACGCCCTGATTTATAGGTGGGCAAGAAGGGTTGCTTCCTAGGGTCCTCTACATCTTTTGGGCCTTCCCATTTGGAATGTGCTTGATTCCTCTAAAGACTATATATATAATAATTTTACAGTGATAGGAGCAAACTTTATATTGATTATTTCCATTTTACCAAAAACAACCAAAAAACCAATAACTATTAGTGTAAAACATAACATAATCAGTGTTAATTAACATATGGATTAGGTTCTTGGGCATGAAAATAAAAAAATAGGCATTTCTCCCTCGATTTTTGGATGTCTGAGGGTTTCTAGGAAGCAAGTATTGTTTTCAGTCTTTATTTCAAATTTCCACTTAATTACTTTCCCTTAAAAAATTAATAGGTTTGAGCCCCCACTTACGTGAATACACATGAGGACAAATGTTTATGTACTTTCTACAATCTACATACATATTGTGTATCTTTAGATTTGTATGCTTAGCATTTGTATTTAAGAATTATCTTACATCTGTACTTTCTACAGGAGTTAAATGGAAATCTTTGGTGTGACTATTACAAAAAATAATGGGACAAGGCCAAGTATATAGAGCTTCTCAATATATTATTAAGATTATAGTCAAGGGGCAGGATTGATTAATGTATGATTGTATGATATAGTGATGATAAGATGGGATTCACAGAGATGGTGACTCACCATGTAAAAGTTACCATTGCAAATCGACCTGTTCTGATGGAAACTCTGGTCGAGCAATGCCTCCAATCAGCAAGCGCCATACAAAATTTTTTAGGCTCCTTCGGATATTTATTGTCAATATGAGAACCAGTACAAACTAGCTGAGTTAATAACATAATATTATATATTGTCAAGTAAAGAATCAGTCCAAACACAGTTTGTATTTATTTATTTACATATTTCTCTTCATTGTCAAACAAGGAACTGAACTAAACACACTTTTTATTCATCGCCATTTATTGTCAAAAGAAAGAATCCAAATATGTTCTTGTCCCACGTTTATGAAGCTTGCTGTCCGTTGCCGCAGTGCTGACACACACAAGCTGCTTTTCTCATGTAATATTGCTATTTCAAGTTTATGTATCCTTAAGTTTGTGTTTCTTTTGAATTTGTAATAGTAATGTTTGAGAAGAAGACTACTTTGATTATTCACTGATCTATTGATTCTATATACTTTTTATTTTCTGATATGGGCCTACGTTTACTTACAATTTTCTTAGAGTTTGCATGAATGCTAGTCTTGCTCATTTACTGTGAAATTTGCATTTCTACTCCAAGTGATATGTACTTGCCATCATTGTAATCATAATAGTTATTAAAACAAACCAAAAACTGCTTAAATATTGATTTTTGGAAGAGATAATATGTAATGACATCTTTTGCCACTGGTAAAATTTACCATGATAATTCTGAAGGTAAATTGTTAGTGGATACCACTGCTGTCTGTTTATGATGGTAACTGAAGTTACCAGGGATTTTACCATCACAAATGCGTTAGTGAATTTGGCCCACGGATGATAAGATTCAAGTAATAGATTATTTCCCTTTTAACCTTGGTTGGAAGCATTGGCAGGGGATCTAGGGGGCTAGACTTGAGCTATATTGGCCCAAAGCTAGCATATTTTTTGCAGACAGTAACGGACTAGTTTTTTTAGTTTTTTTTTTTGTCTGGGGTTTGTCTTAAATTGTTAGGTTTTTATTTTTTTGTTTTGTTTTTTTTTTTTTTTTTTTTTTTTTTTTTTTTTTTTTTTTTTTTTTTTTTTTTTTTTTTTTTTTTTTTTTTTTTTTTTTTTTTTTTTTTTTTTTTTTTTTTTTTTTTTTTTTTTTTTTTTTTTTTTTTTTTTTTTTTTTTTTTTTTTTTTTTTTTTTTTTTTTTTTTTTTTTTTTTTTTTTTTTTTTTTTTTTTTTTTTTTTTTTTTTTTTTTTTTTTTTTTTTTTTTTTTTTTTTTTTTTTTTTTTTTTTTTTTTTTTTTTTTTTTTTTTTTTTTTTTTTTTTTTTGGATTGATTAATGTATGATTGTATGATATAGTGATGATAAGATGGGATTCACAGAGATGGTGACTCACCATGTAAAAGTTACCATTGCAAATCGACCTGTTCTGATGGAAACTCTGGTCGAGCAATGCCTCCAATCAGCAAGCGCCATACAAAATTTTTTAGGCTCCTTCGGATATTTATTGTCAATATGAGAACCAGTACAAACTAGCTGAGTTAATAACATAATATTATATATTGTCAAGTAAAGAATCAGTCCAAACACAGTTTGTATTTATTTATTTACATATTTCTCTTCATTGTCAAACAAGGAACTGAACTAAACACACTTTTTATTCATCGCCATTTATTGTCAAAAGAAAGAATCCAAATATGTTCTTGTCCCACGTTTATGAAGCTTGCTGTCCGTTGCCGCAGTGCTGACACACACAAGCTGCTTTTCTCATGTAATATTGCTATTTCAAGTTTATGTATCCTTAAGTTTGTGTTTCTTTTGAATTTGTAATAGTAATGTTTGAGAAGAAGACTACTTTGATTATTCACTGATCTATTGATTCTATATACTTTTTATTTTCTGATATGGGCCTACGTTTACTTACAATTTTCTTAGAGTTTGCATGAATGCTAGTCTTGCTCATTTACTGTGAAATTTGCATTTCTACTCCAAGTGATATGTACTTGCCATCATTGTAATCATAATAGTTATTAAAACAAACCAAAAACTGCTTAAATATTGATTTTTGGAAGAGATAATATGTAATGACATCTTTTGCCACTGGTAAAATTTACCATGATAATTCTGAAGGTAAATTGTTAGTGGATACCACTGCTGTCTGTTTATGATGGTAACTGAAGTTACCAGGGATTTTACCATCACAAATGCGTTAGTGAATTTGGCCCACGGATGATAAGATTCAAGTAATAGATTATTTCCCTTTTAACCTTGGTTGGAAGCATTGGCAGGGGATCTAGGGGGCTAGACTTGAGCTATATTGGCCCAAAGCTAGCATATTTTTTGCAGACAGTAACGATCTGTAGTCAGTAATTGTCTTCAAAATTTGTTGTGTGATATTGTGCAATTATAAAAACATTTTGAAGCCAGCTTAGGCATGGCCATGAAGGTTTTGTGAGTGATGATGGTGCTTCTGGTGTGATAGGAAGTACAAGATGCATGAAGAGAGTAGATTGCAGATTGGAGAAAGTACACAAAAATTTTCCTTTATTTGAACATTTATACAT